TAAAAGACCTAACGGAGTCATCCCTTATCTCGGATCGGAGATGCTAACGGGGCGGGAATCGAAGTGGGGGACCTCTCTACCACCTGTGTCTATCTCCTGTCAAGTATGCTCCCACAGACATAGACTACGTAGAGGGTAGTACTGACTCTTAAAAAGATAGAATATCACCGCGTGAACATAAGATGTTGTTACCAATATAACTCCCGAGGGATCGACCACTATTCTAAATAGAGTAGAGTAAAGTCAGGCGGAGAATGTTCATTGGAGTGCGGAGGTTGTTCCCATCATTGAAGTCAGAGTGTGGGACTGAGCCTTACGAATGATAAAGATAAAAAAGTGTTTCGTTTCATTGGAAAAACCAAGGCAAATCTCATATAGACTTTCTCTCGCCCTACTTCTCAGTCTCGATAGAAAAGGTTGGAGAGAGTGACTTTATGAAATTCTCTCCTTTCTAAAGCAGCGAAAGACGGCCCCCCAGAACGCTAAAAAGGTGGGGGAACAAGAGTTGTCACGATAGGAAAGAGAAATGACTAAAAGAAACCAACGATTCTCTCTTCTTAAACAACCTATATCCTCCACACTGAATCAGCATTTGATAGATTATCCAACCCCAAGTAATCTTAGTTATTGGTGGGGGTTTGGTCCGTTAGCAGGTCTTTGTTTAGTCATTCAGATAGTTACTGGCGTTTTTTTAGCTATGCATTACGCACCTCATGTGGATCTAGGTTTCAACAGCGTAGAACACGTTATGAGAGATGTTGAAGGGGGCTGGTTGCTCCGTTATATGCATGCGAATGGGGCTAGTATGTTTCTCATTGTGGTTCACCTTCATATTTTTCGTGGTCTATATCATGCGAGTTATAGCAGTCCTAGGAAATTTGTTCGGTGTCTCGGAGTTGTAATCTTCCTATTAATGATTGTGACAGCTTTTACAGGATACGTACTACCTTGGGGTCAGATGAGCTTTTGGGGAGCAACTGTAATTACAAGCTTAGCTAGCGCCATACCCGTAGTAGGAGATACCATAGTGACTTGGCTTTGGGGTGGTTTCTCTGTGGACAATGCCACCTTAAATCGTTTTTTTAGTCTTCATCATTTACTCCCTTTTCTTTTAGCGGGCGCCAGTCTTCTTCATCTGGCCGCATTGCATCAATATGGATCCAATAATCCATTGGGTGTACATTCTGAGATGGATAAAATCTCTTTTTACCCTTATTTTTATGTAAAGGATCTAGAAGGTTGGGTAGCTTTTGCTATCTTTTTTTTCCATTTGGATTTTTTATGCTCCTAATGTTTTGGGGCATCCCAACAATTATATACCTGCTAATCCGATGCCCACCCCGCCTCATATTGTGCCGGAATGGTATTTTCTACCAATCCATGCCATTCTTCGTAGTATACCTGACAAAGCGGGAGGTGTAGCCGCAATAGCACCAGTTTTTATATGTCTATTGGCTTTACCTTTTATTAAAAGTATGTATGTGCGTAGTTCAAGTTTTCGCCCTATTCACCAAGGACTATTTTGGTTGCTTTTGGCAGATTGCTTACTACTAGGTTGGATCGGATGTCAACCTGTGGAGGCACCATTTGTTACTATTGGACAAATTTCTCCTTTTGTTTTCTTCTTGTTCTTTGCCATAACGCCCATTTCGGGATGAGTTGGAAGAGGAATTCCTCATTCTTACACAGATGAGCCCTAGCCCTGTAAGCTCACACCTAATCAGTGCAAAATTCTGACACAAATCATTGTAGAGTTTGTATTACACCAAGAATGAATTGACAAGCAGATTTTCTAGTTGGCTTTGTTGATATAGCTTAGATAGGGAAAAGATACGAGAGGGTAGGGCTGCACTTTGAAATCCGGGGGCTTTGTTCCAGAAACTCCCTTCCACCTCCACGTCACTTACTCGTCTTTTGAAAGCCAGAACATGAGCATACAGGAGTATCCGTATCACGCATGCTTCTCCACTGAAGACAAAATGTCCTTCGAGGACTCTTTTAGGAATTCCTACCCCTATCAATTTGAGGAGGGAAAGAAGTCAGTCTTCCGCATTCATATGCTTTTGCACTAGGACTGATAGCGGGAAAGCCCAGAGATCATAAATCAAGGATGGGATAGGAATAGAGGCATTCCAGCCCAACATACTCCAGTGAATGGGTCGAGAGAGATAGGGAGGGGAGTGGGATAGAGGAAGTGACGTAATATGTGACTACAGGGTTTACTCTTCCTCATCTTTCATTATTCATAACTGTTAAGTGGCTATCCAACCATTCAAACGGCTATGGAGGGAGGTTTCAGCAAGCGGGTAAACCGATGCAAAACTGAGGTAGGTCGATCATCGCTCATCCCTCGTGTTCTCTACCGTGAAGTGATTAATCCGGGCAATCCCTATGGAAAAGAAAGTCTTCCGATTGGAGTCAATTTCCACCCTCTGATTGATGAGCCATTCCCCCTTTCCGTATAGCCAGAAAGGTATTCAATCTTATGGATGACTTTCAGTAGTTCTTCCATCCCCTCTTGTTCCACCTATCCCTTCACTCCCTAGGGATTTCGTACAGCTAGACAACCACGGTTCATCGCTCGGAGAGAAAGAATAGAAGCAAGCATTCCCATTCGTTCAGTCGGTAATGAATCAATACGCAGGGAAACTCTCTCCCATGATGGGAATGGCAAGTCTCGTACAGGCTCATATTGGTTGGGTATGCTCCTTCCATAGGCCACTTTCCAGAAGGTCTTCAAGGTAGATATGCTCTTCTTCTTCTCAGAAAGACCATACCTTTTTTTTGGTCAGGGGGCACAGAAGGGAGAGTGGGCCGGGTTTCAAGCCTGGTTGCATGTGACTGAGTAGGGAGAGGGGGCGAAGAGATCCGCTTCACTGCAAAATTGCATTTGTTTTTACGTCTTTTTCTAGTCAGATTGAAATCCTTCGAGAATCTTTAATCCTCATCTTCGTCATGCTATGAATATAGTTAGGCAAATCACGCCATTTCTTTTTCAGAGTAGCGGGAATCTGATATAATTCACTTTCACTTCTCAAGCATCTTTTTCAATTGTTTTCCCACTTTCTTGTTGTTATCCAAAAATAGAAGAAGATTCATAATGAACATTCATTTATGACGTCCGCTGTCCTCAAAAAGAGATTGTTAGCAAGCAGCACTACTACTAATTCCCGTTAGGTTCCCATTCGGGGGCTGAAACCAGCACTTCGCCCCATGCATCGTGAATTGGATCAAGATCAACAGCTTCTTAATTGGATTTGGCTCTCGAATTGACTATTGAAAAGGAGGTGAGGTGATGGCGCTCTTTCGATGATATGCATCTCGAACCTGGTCTCCAACCGGCACAGAAATTGGGCCAGCACTCGGGGTGCCCCTACCCGGTCTCAAGAACTCGAGCGGTCTTTATAGTGGTAGCCGATTCAGATTGTATAGTTGCTGGGAAGCATAAAGATCGATCCATGTCCAGATTGCAACGCATTAAGATGTCAATGCCCAGTAGTGAATGTGTTCTCAGTGGGGCTATCGTCAGTGTTCTAGTGCAAATCATATCTCTTTTTCAAAGCACGTCAAGACCAAAACAAAATGTCATAATCACAGTGCTTTCATTTTCTTTAATAGTTTGGTTGCGCTGGGGCAGAAGATTTTGATAAATAAGTGAGTGCGATCTCTTCTAGCTCTTTGAACTCATACTCCTCCGGTTCCATGTCTCTAAAAAGAATATAGAAAGATCTCTCCCAAAGTAGTTTGCATATCTCGCCTGCGGATCCTCGTATAGATTCTGAATGCTCTCATAGGGCTGGACGGAAAGCTTCCTTAAGACCGGATCATTATAGATTTGGTACCAATCGTGACATTTGAGAAGCTTGTCTAGTACTTGCTCTGGCTGACTCTAATGAGACTGATTGCGCTTTTTACTAGTGTCTACAATTTTGTAATTATTTATTCGTCTGTGTATTCTCCCCGGACAAGCAGCTCCTTATCTTCTTTGATGAGATAGAACCATATGGGAGCCCAGGGTGAAATTGCACATCGAGTGCTCTGCCCTCCCACTCGGTAAAGCACTCTCTTCTCTTCTTAGTGGGAGTATGCTTGGTGGAGGCATTCCTGTTGAATACCCCCGCATTCAGGTGATACCCACCTTCACTATGTGGTTCCTTTGCCACTAGAACGGCCTGGCTGTCGAATAGTTGCCTAAGTCGGTCTCTCACCAACTCCTTCTTTGTGGTAGGTCTTCTATCCGCATGAGTGTTAGCATAACAAGAATGAATTTCTTGATTGTGGTGCCCCTTCCATGGTTCCTTCCTTCATTTGTCTGTGCTCCATCTCTACCAATGATGAAAGAAAGAGGTTTGTCCCTCTTGCGTCTGCTTGCTACTCCCGCTTTCTTCTTTGTGATTGCCTTTACAAAGTACACGTCATTCATTCCTTTTGCTCTCGAGATCCTAATGCCAACTGCAAGATAACATCGGAAGCGTCAATGCATCGTCGAATAGGTGAGGTGGCACTCTCTATGTACTTGTAGTTGAGTAAGGACTATAAGCTTTAAGTCCCTTCTGACTTATTTTCTTTTTTAGAACCAAGAACATTTGCCAATCATGAGGAGTTGAGTCTGATTCTTCGCCTACCACTAATAGAATAGCTTCGTCCGGGAAATGCGTCCCCTTCTTACTAATCAAATCAAGCTCATAGTCACGGGTCGTAGGTGGTCTGCTCCTGCCCCTTTGCTTTACTCATTTAGGGCTTCTGGGTGACGTACACAATATCGAACTCTGAGAGTCACATCTGCCACCTTGCTGGCCCATGAAGGCTGGCTTTTCAAAGAGATACTGAAGGAGAAGGAAGCGGGTCCATCCTTGCAATCATCATGGTCGTATAGTTCAAGATGTAGTGGCGTAGGCGTTGCGAGGCTCATGAACCGTATACCTTGTCTCATAATCAGTGAACTTCTTGCAGATCGATCGTATATTGCTCTTTCTTTCCTACCTGTTTCATCGTGGTGA